GAAATCCACAAGCATGTGGACAGCTTCGACAGAAAGGAGGAGACCATGAAAATGAACAAAATCTGGCTACCAGTATTTAAAAAATACCCTCTAAAATCAGGACAGTAAATAAAGAACAGCACTAAAAAACAGGGGAATTCCAGACAAGAAACAATCAGGGCCAGCTAATCACCTCCCAACAAAGGATTCCCCCAGGGAGTAAGAAGCCAGGCCTTGAAAACTGCCAGGCCATTAAATTCTAATCAAGGCGGCCAGTTGCTACATTCACACCTACCTCAACCAGACAAGAGTTTTTTTTCTCCCACGTTGGACACTCCAGATATATAAATCCCACTTGCCTAGTTTCCAACAGACCTCACAACCTCTGAGGATGCCTGCCATAGATGTGGGTGAAGCGTCAGGAGAGAATGCTTCTGGAACATGGCCATACAGCCCAGAAAATGCACAACTCCGTGAGAAGTCTTTCAAACCCAGGTGTCAAAGAGATGACCTCATGGCTTCTTGGTAGGGCCTGAGCTTACATTAAGTGTTCTTTTCTTGGAATCTCTAGAGCAGACAACATTGTCATAGAATCCAGTTCCTGGATCTGCTCTCATGCTCATGAATCTTGTCTCCTGAGTTTGCCTATGTTCCTGTAAGAGTTTTGCCTTTGAAAAGCTACTGTTTTCATGCTTATGGATTTATTCATATGATCTTGATTTCCTGGATTCCATGCATTTATGGACTATTGAACTTTGTATATATGGACTACTGCTATTTTATAGCACCTTTTCTACTGCTTTTTGGGAATTGCGGATCTGGCCACGGTGGTCCACGCTCTTGTTACATCCCGGATAGATTACTGCAACGCACTCTACATGGGGTTGCCTTTGAAGACTGTTCGGAAACTTCAACTAGTCCAGCGGGAGGCAGCCAGATTGCTCACTGGAGCGTTATACAGGGAGCATACCACCCCCCTGTTATATCAGCTCCACTGGCTGCCGATCCAGTTCCGAGCACAATTCAAAGTGCTGGTTTTGACCTACAAAATCCTATACGGTTCCAGCCCAACGTATCTGTCCGAATGCATCTCCCTTTACGTCCCATCTCGGACTCTGAGATCATCTGGGGAGGCCCTGCTCTCGACCCCGCCTCTGTCACAAGTGAGATTGGCGGGGACGAGGAGCAGGGCCTTCTCAGTGGTGGCCCCTCACCTATGGAATTCACTCCCAGGGAGATCAGATCAGCAACATCCCTCCTTTCCTTCAGAAAGAAATTAAAAACATGGATGTGGGACCAGGCGTTTGGGCAATCTGGCAGATGAATAAGGGACTGTGATGATGGATAGGAACTGGACAAGGTGGAACGAAATATGAACTCTGAGTGGCAAACGCTGTGTCTGAGATTGGCTATTGATTGTGTGATATATTGTTGTTTTAATTGTTTTTAATTGTTGACCATTTAATTGCTGGTTTTATATGTTATTGTATTTGTGCAGGCACCAAGATGTGCCTTTTTGTAAGCCGCCCTGAGTCCCCCCTCGGGGGTTGAAAAGGGCGGGGTAGGAGTATACGAAATAAATAAATAAATAAATTTCCCTTTTCCCTTTTTGCATATCCTTTTCTAAATAAATTGCTGTAGCTAGATTTAAGAAAACAGGGGAACTCTCTACTTTGAGATCGTGGTGGAAGCGCCTTCCTTGGAGGCTTTTAAACAAAGGCTGGATGGCCATCTGTCGGGGGTGTTTTTTACTGCCTGGCATCATGGGGTTGGACTGGATGGCCCTTGGGATCTTTTCCAACTCTATGACTGTATGATGCTTTCTCAGCCTACGTGGAAGGCAATGCCAAACCCTCTGAAAAAATTCTGCCAAGACAAAACCTCATAATAATTTGGCTTCAGGATCCCCATAAATCAGAAATACACAGATACATACAGATGAGTGTTTCTCTCACTTTGGGGAGCGAGCCTATTATTTGTCTTTCAGGGGCAGCTCCTCTTCCAGGCAGAGACTCAACCCTTCCAGCTCCAGACTTGAGGCGTGTCTTGTCCTAAAAACTCCATTTAGGACGCAATGCCTTCCATGTGCTGCCCATCCCTTCCTGTGGAGGCTTTGCCTTGGTCCCCGAGGAGAAGAAGGACTGAAGGCTCTTTCACAGGGAAGCCACACTGGAAGGGGAGACATGCAAACCTTTTGGCCAGAAGCCTGCTGGGTAGCCAGTTTTCTCTCTTCTGAATGCATTTGAAACCAGTCCACCATGAAGAAATTCACTTTTCTTTTTCTGTGCGTGGCTCATCACTGTGTGTCCAAGAGTGTTGCCTTCTTTGCACGCAATACTCCAGAGCCCCAATGCAGCAATGGATTAAACCCTTGCACCGGCAGGAGTGCTGACCAGAAGGTCGGCGATTCGAATCCGAGGAGCAGGGTGAGCTTCCATCTGTCAGCTCCAGCTTCCCATGCGGGGGCATGAGAGAACCCTCCCACAGGATGGTAAAACATTTGGGCGTTCCCTGGGCAACGTCCTTGCAGGCAGCCAATTCTCACACCAGAAGCAACTTGGTTTTGTAGTATTTGGGATTCTGGATAGGGGATGCTTAACGTGTAACATGGGACAGGAGATAGAATCATAGAATCAAAGAGTTGGGAGAGACCTCATGGGCCATCCAGTCCAACCCCCTGCCAAGAAGCAGGAATATTGCATTCAAATCACCCCTGACAGATGGCCATCCAGCCTCTGTTTAAAAGCTTCCAAAGAAGGAGCCTCCACCACACTCCGGGGCAGAGAGTTCCACTGCTGAACGGCTCTCACAGTCAGGATGTTCTTCCTCATGTTCAGATGGAATCTCCTCTCTTGTAGTTTGAAGCCATTGTTCCGCGTCCTAGTCTCCAAGGAAGCAGAAAACAAGCTTGCTCTCTCCTCCCTGTATCTTCCTCTCACATATTTATATATGGCTATCATATCTCCTCTCAGCCTTCTCTTCTTCAGGCTAAACATGCCCAGCTCCTTAAGCCACTCCTCATAGGGCTTGTTCTCCAGACCCTTGATATGGGGCTTAAGCCTGTCCCTCCGCTTTGTGTCTATGGCAGTGGTTCTCAACCTGGGGTCCCCAGATGTTTTTGGCCTACAACTCCCAGAAATCCCAGCCAGTTTACCAGCTGCTAGGAGTTCGGGGAGTTGAAGGCCAAAAACATCTGGAGACCCCAGGTTGAGAACCACTGGTCTATGGGATTATCTATATAATATATATATAAATGCTCTGTGCATAATGACTACCTTAAAAACAAAAGAACCAATGAACGAAATCACACCAAATTTGGCAACAAAACGTCTCACAACACAAGGAATGACCATCACTCAAAAATTATGATTTTGTCATTTGGGAGTTGTAGTTGCTGGGATTTATAGTTCACCTACAGTCAAAGAGCATTCTGAACTCTATCAACGATGGAATTGAACCAAACTTGTCACACAGTCCTCCCCTGACCAACAGAAAATACTGGAAAGGTTTGGTGGGCATTGACCTTGAGTTTGGGAGTTGTAGTTCACCTACATCCAGAGAGCACTGTGGACTCAAACAATGATGGATCTGGACCAAACTTGGCACAGATACTCAATATGCCGAAATATGAACACTGATGGAGTTTGGGGGAAATAGACCTTGACATTTGGGACTTGTAGTTACTGGGATTTATATTTCACCTACAATCATAGAGCAATCTGAACCCCACAAATGACAGAATTGGGGCAAATTTCCCACACAGAACCCCCATGACCAACAGAAAATACTTAAGGCCATCCAGTCCAACTCCCTTCATCAGGGCAAGAAAACATAATCAAAGTCCTCCTGACAAAGAACCATCCAGCCATAGATAGATAGATAGATAGATAGATAGATAGATAGATAGATAGATATGATTCACACACAGAGAGATATAGTATCATAGATTTGAAAGGGACCCCTAAAGAAGGACAATGATATGTTGCATGTTCCAGAGTGGACAAACTAGACAAGCTCCACATCAACACTGACTTAGAAACAACAAGGAATACTGTTTACCCACAAGCAGAAAGGAATTACATATATTAGAAACCATTACCTTATTTTCCAGATCACCAGACTGGGCCACAGCAATGCGTGGCAGGGGATGGCTAGTATACTATATATGTCTGTATATTGGAGGATTGCTCTTGCTAGATATGGGGCATTATTGTTATTATTATTATTTGCCTTCTCTGCCAAAGACTACTACCTCACCAAACTATACGTATTATAATATTATCATTGTAATATTATATTGTATATTATTACTACTTTTATTATACTTTATATTATTATGTATTATATGGTATTATATTACTGGGTTGCTGTAAGTTTTTCAGGCTCCAGGAAAGAAACAATCAGGGACAGCTAATCACCTCTCAGCAAAGGATTCTCCCAGGCAGTAAGAAGCCACACCTTGAAAACTTCTAGGCCATTAAATGCTAATCAAGGCGGTCAATTGAAACATTCATACCTATCTCCAACAGACAAGAGTTCTTTCTCCCACCTTGGACATTCCACAGATATATAAACCCCATTTTCCTAGTTTCCAGCAGACCTCACAACCTCTGAGGATGCCTGCCATAGATGCAGGAGAAAGGTCAGGAGAAAATGCTTCTGGAACATGGCCATATAGCCCGAGAAGCTTATAGCCAGATTTTGTTCATGATTTCTTCCTTTCTGTTGAAATTGTCCACATTTTTGTGGCTTTTAATGGCTTCTCTGTGTAGTACAATTCTTAATTATTATAAATCTTGTCTAGTCTGTATTGTTTTCATTGTTTATCAAAATGTATGTGACCCCAAAGCTATATACAGGTTTAATATCCTATTACTCTGTTTTCATCTAGGCGACTGGAACTTTGAGTTACTGTTATTATGTCCCTTATTTTCACCTTTGACACCTGGCAACCCTGCTTCTCAGAAAGTTTGCTTCGAACCAGTCCTCTTTTTTCATGCGGTTTCTCTCCTCTCTTTCAGGGGATCATGGCCGAAGAAATCCTGGTGACTGGTGGAGCTGGCTACATAGGCAGCCACTGTGTGCTGGAGCTGGTTGAGGCTGGCTTTGCCCCCGTGGTCATCGACAACTTCCACAATGCCATTCGAGGTAAGTCCATCCAGCACAGGCATGGGCAAATTTGGCCCCTCCAGATGTTTTGGACTTCAACTCCCACCATTCCCAACAGCGTCAGGCCCTTTCCTTTCTCTCCTCAGCTGCTTAAGCACATTTGGAGGAAGGTCAAAGTATGTCCATGCCTGGTGTAGATGCATCCTAAGATGATATATGCAGGGAATGCCGTGGATGTAGCGTACCTGGATTTCAGTAAGGCCTTCGACAAGGTCCCCCATGACCTTCCGGCAAGGAAACTAGTCCAATGTGGGCTAGGCAAAACTACGGTGAGGTGGATCTGTAATTGGTTAAGTGGACGAACCAGAGGGTGCTCACCAATGCTTCCTCTTCATCCTGGAAAGAAGTGACAAGTAGAGTGCCGCAGGGTTTTCCTGTCCTGGGCCCGGTCCTGTTCAACATCTTTATTAATGACTTAGATGAAGGGCTAGAAGGCAGGATCATCAAGTTTGCAGACGACACCAAATTGGGAGGATAGCCAATAGTCCAGAGGACAGGAGCAGGATTCAAAATGATCTTGACAGATTAGAGAGATGAATGGCCAAAACTAACACAATGAAGTTCAACAGTGACAAATGCAAGATACTCCACTTTGGCAGGAAAAACGAAATGCAAAGATACAGAATGGGGGACAATGCCTGGCTCGAGAGCAGTACGTGTGAAAAAGATCTTGGAGTCCTTGTGGACAACAAGTTAAACATGAGCCAACAATGTGATGTGGCGGCAAAAAAAGCCAATGGGATTTTGGCCTGCATCATAGGAGCATAGTGTCTAGATCTAGGGAAGTAATGCTACCCCTCTATTCCGCTTTGGTTAGACCACACCTGGAATATTGTGTCCAATTCTGGGCACCACAATTCAAAAGAGATATTGACAAGCTGGAATGTGTCCAGAGGAGGGCGACTAAAATGATCAAGGGTCTGGAGAACAAGCCCTATGAGGAGCGGCTTAGGGAACTGGGCATGTTTAGCCTGAAGAAGAGAAGGCTGAGAGGAGATATGATAGCCATGTATAAATATGTGAGAGGAAGCCACAGGGAGGAGGGAGCAAGCTTGTTTTCTGCTTCCTTGGAGTCTAGGACGCGGAACAATGGCTTCAAACTACAAGAGAGGAGATTCCATCTGAACATGAGGAAGAACTTCCTGACTGTGAGAGCCGTTCAGCAGTGGAACTCTCTGCCCCGGAGTGTGGTGGAGGCTCCTTCTTTGGAAGCTTTTAAACAGAGGCTGGATGGTCATCTGTCAGGGGTGATTTGAATGCAATATTCCTACTTCTTGGCAGGGGGTTGGACTGGATGGCCCAACTCTTTGATTCTATGATATATTTACCATCCATTCTGTCCCTATTGACTTTACATCTTGTATAAGGCATTTTCACTATAAGTAATTAAGAACTCGAGCATCCACTGGTTTGGGTTTCCAGAAGGATCCTGGAACCAAAGCCCAAGGGCCCATGTATACAAAACTATTGGGAACGAGGACCCCTCAGCACAGCATCACGAGTACGCTCTTTCCCCAGGAAGCAATATGGTTCCTGAGAGCATTCGGCGGGTGGAAGAAATCGTCGGGAAAAAGATCCCATTCCATGAGCTGGACATTCTTGATGAGACGGGCCTACAGAACCTCTTCAAGAAGGTAAGGGCCAGGATCTTGCATCAGGATAGCATAAATATCCATCGGTAGGGTTACAGCATGCTTCCTCTATACAGGCAGTCCCCAAGTTACTTATTTATTTATTTACAGTATTTATATTCCGCCCTTCTCACCCCCCAGAGGACTCAGGGCATATTGCAATGTACATATAGAATGCAAACATTCAATGCCATAGACACACAACATAAATAGACAGACACAAAGAGGCTATTTAATATCCCAGCTTTTGATGAGGATATTCTGGCCACCAGGGGAGCTGTTGCTTCACCGTCCATTTGTGACACTGATGAAGTACTTCCTCATTATTTGCATGCTTGCTGGAGATTTTTATGGCATCGTAAATTAGCCTCCCCTCATAAGCGGTACCTAAATTTCCTACTTGACAGGTACGACTGTCTTTCAGGCTGCAAAGGTCGACAGCAAACTCCACAAATTAGTCAAAAGCTCACTCCGACCCAGGTTGGCTTATAACTCATGGCCTTTTGGTCAGTAGTGATCTTATTGCAGCTGATTCCCAGCCAGCTGCGCCAGAGTCCTGGTGCAAACATCCGACTCACAAACGACTCCTAGTTAAGAACGAGTTACAAACATCCGACTCACAAATGACTCCTAGTTAAGAACGGGGCTGAGACAACAAAAAATGAGAGAAATCTACCCCTTGGAAGGGAAATCTACTCCTGGAAGAGTAGAGCTTTGAGTCCCCCCAGGGGTGAGAAAAGCGGTATATAAATACTGTAAATAAATAAATAAATAATGGGGAAAAGATGTTTCCACTGAAGCTTTCTCTCCAATCCTTGTTTCCACAAGCCAATTTTTTCAAAATCTTATTCTTACAGGGACAAACAGTGGAAGAAATCTTCTGAACAGGGGCACAGAAAGCAAAACAAATCCCAAAGGGCGTTAACCCTTCCCTATACTATCCAAGGGAGCCCCCGGTGGTGCAGTGGGTTAAACTGCTGAGCTGCTGAACTTGCTGACCAAAAGGTCGGCAATTCGAATCCAGGGAGCGGGGTGAGCTCCCACTGTTCGCCCCAGGTTCTGTCAACCTAGCAGTTTAAAAACATGCAAATGTGAGTAGATCAATAGGTACCGCTCTGGCGGGAAGGTAACGGCACTCCGTGCAGTCATGCTAGCCACATGACCTTGGAGGTGTCTACAGACAATGCTTTGGCTTAGAAATGGAAATGAGCACCAACCCCCTGAGTTGGACACGACTGGACTTAACGTCAGTGGAAAACCTTTACCTTTACTTATGCTATCCAAAGATTACACACACACACACACATATAGATGGGGCTAGAGTTACACTTCAAAATGTATCTGTTTCAACTTACATACAAATTCAACTTAAGAACAAACCTATAGAACCTACCTTGATCGTAACTTGGGGACTGCCTGTACTGGCAAAGCAGAGTAAATGCACATTGGCCTCCAGTGGTTGCCTTAATACCATGGCCACATACACACTGCTCTCTGAACGTTATAGTGGTGTTGTGCAAGAAGTTCTTCTGCAAGTGGAGCTTCACTTTGACCACCAAGTAGCTGGACACAACCGTAGTTCATTGTTTACCTTCAAACCAACTCTCAGCTGAGATCCTCCACCACGCAACACCTGTGCTGGTACCAAGAAAGCACAATGTGTATGGACTGTTAGCTGACAACCCATTGACCAATTGTGGTGCCCAAACACAATGTCCATTCACACACTTTTCTGTGTTTGTTAATGCAGTTCTGTATCCACAATGGTCCCATCTGCTCATGTCATTGTGATCTGGGTGCAAACCTTGTGCATTGCCCAGGGAAATTGCTATGTGCCCAGAATGCAGTTTAACCCCTGTAAAAGTCCCTAGTAGGATGGTGACTTCTCTCTTGGGGAGAAGAACACCATAGAAGGGATGGGTATGGAAAATGCACTTTCTTGCTTTGCATTACCATGACAAGGATGACAACAACGCCTTTTAACGCCTGTTTCCTGCAGCATCGCTTCTCGGCAGTGATACACTTTGCGGGTCTCAAAGCTGTGGGAGAGTCGGTCCAAATGCCGCTGGAGTACTACAAGGTGAATCTGACAGGGACCATCCGGCTGCTGGAGGTGAGTGGCTTGCAACCAAGGCACGGGTTTGGACGGCCTGGATGAGACTCACATCGGGGAGAAGGAGTGCTGGAGAGTGAAGCCTGAACCTTTGCTACTCCTTCTTTTCCCTGCCTTCCTCAGACCATGAAAGTGCACGGAGTCAAGAACTTGGTGTTCAGCAGTTCAGCCACTGTCTATGGAGACCCGGCCTACCTCCCCCTTGACGAAAAGCACCCAGTTGGAGGCTGTACCAACCCTTACGGCAAATCCAAATATTTCATTGAAGAGATGATACGAGACTTGTGCAAGGCAGAGCCTGTAAGAAAGCAGTATTCCTGCAATGGCCTCCTCCTCGGAGACCCTGCTCCGATTGTATTTATTTGTAGTTGTTGTTATGTGCTGTTAAGCTAGCTTTCTTAACCCTATGAATGAGAGACTTCCAAGAGTCCAGTCAAGTCTGACAAATTTGGAGCTGGGACCTGCGTGATTGAGATAACCCATTGATAATGTGGAGAGGGAGAGCTTCCAAACATCTGTTGGCTTATTTTGACCCTATTAATGTAATAAGGTTTTTCTTAGGGCCATTCCATACAGCCTTATATCTCAGAATATCAATGCAAAAAATCCCACATTATCTGAGTGTGGACTCAGATAACCCAGTTCAAAGCACACAATATGGGATTTTCTACCTTGATATTCTGGGTTATAAGGCTGTGTGGAAGGGCCCTTAGTCAAGGAAGACTGAGATATGGTTTCTCCACTTCCTTCCTTTGAAACACAACATATAACACATTTTATTTGTTGTGTCATCCAAGTACTCACCAGTCCAAGATCAGATGTAGACCTGGTGCCTCTAGGTCAGGCATGGGCAAACTTTCTAATTTGGGGGCTGCATGGCGGGCCAGAGCAGGGTGGGCAGGCCAGGAAGGGGTTCTCCCCAAATCCCCTCCCTGCCCTTTCCTCCCCTTCCTTTTGGAGGCAGAAAGTGAAGGAAAGACGGGAAACGTTTGGATCCCAAAACAAAATGGTGGATGGGAGAGAAAAAGTGCATCCATTAGACCCTGTGTTGCCTACTCCTGATATATAATCCTAGAATCCTAGAGCTGGATGAGACCTCCAGGCATCATCCAGTCCAACCCTCTTCCATGCAAGAAGGCACAATTAAAGCACTCCCGATAAGACAGCCTCTGAGAAAAGCCCCCAGAGAAGGAGACTCCACCACACTCTGAGGCAGCCTATGCCACTCTCCAACAGCTTTTACACTCAGGAAGTTCTTCCTAACCTTTTTAGTCAAATCTTTTCCCCTGCCATTTGAACCCATTGCCCTGGTCTCTAGAGCAGCAGAAAGTCAGTGCCCCCCCCTCCTCAATGGGACACCCTTTAAAATCTTGAAACATGGTTCTCATGTTCCCTCTCTACCTTTTTCTTTTCCCAGCTAAACATCTCCCAGGAGTAAAGGGGGAAGGAAAAAGTGAAGGAAGGGTGGAAGAGAATGGAGGGAGGGAGGGAAGGAGAAAGAAAGAGAGAAGGAAGCAAAGACAAAAGGGAAGGAAGGAGGGAAGGAAGGAGAAAGATAGGGAAGGATTGATAAGAGGGAAGCAAGGGTGGAAGAGGAGGAGGGAATGAGAAAGAGGGAGGTAAGGAATGGAGAGAGAGAAGGAGGAAGGAAGGAAGGATAGGATGGTGAGAGGAGGGCCTGAGAAAATAGCCCAAGTGGCCACATCCAGCCCCGGGTCTGGGTTTGCCCATACCTGCTCTAGAGTATTTAGAGCGGCTTTATATAATTCTCTCTCTCTCTCTCTCTGTGTATATTGTGTCAGAAGCAACTTGAGAAACTGCAAGTTATTTTTGGTGTGAGAGAATTGGCCGTCTGCAAGGATGTTGCCCAGGGGACACCCGGATGATTGATGTTTTACCATCCTGTGGGTGGCTTCTCTCATGTCCCCACATGAGAAGCTGGAGCTCGACAGACAGGAGCTTACCTTGCTCCCCGGATTCAAACCACCTACCTGTCAGTCGACCAGTCCTGCCAGCACAAGTTTAACCCATTGCACCACCTCGGGCTCCTGTGTTTATAATATAATCATATAGAACACAAGCATGTTGCTCTCTGTGCTCATTCTCGCAGGATTGGAATGCTGTTCTCTTGCGGTACTTCAACCCCATCGGAGCTCACAAATCAGGAAAAATTGGAGAGGACCCCCAAGGGATCCCAAACAACCTGATGCCTTATGTTGCCCAGGTACCAGGCCGGTCTACCTTTGAGAGCATCCAGTCTATTGTGATGAGATATTTCTGTTAACGCCACCCTCCCCCCATCTTTAATTTTCTCTCCAGGTGGCTGTAGGACGCAGAGAGTACCTGAATGTATTTGGAAACGACTACAGTACAGTAGATGGGACAGGTGGGTTGCCTGGGATTAGTTTGAAAACCAAGTCACTGCTAGTTAAACTTGGGTGAAGGATGGCTCAGACAGTATGAATGTGATGTTGGCTAACTCCCTTCCTTGTTTCTGGCAGGCGTTCGGGATTACATCCATGTGGTGGATCTTGCCAAGGGACACATTGCAGCATTGAAGAAGCTCAAGGAGAATTGTGGCTGCAAGGTAGGAAGCCCGGCTTTGATTCGGAGCATTGATTTTCTTCATGCAACCCTTGTTTTGGGATCTTTTCTGCACAGACAACTATTGCATCGTAGCTGCTTCCTCCATGAATATGGACTTGCTGAATTACTCAGTTCAATTCTGTGCATGCATAAGGCTATTTATGAAGACACAAGTCCCAAGTGAAATGCCAACCTGGATTAATGACAAAGATGTGCCTTCTTGCAGATCTACAACCTGGGAACAGGTACTGGCTACTCGGTCCTGCAGATGGTGAAAGCCATGGAAAAGGCATCAGGAAAGGAGGTATAGTAACAAGCCCATGGGGGTATGTGGGAAGGGTATGAATTCTTTTTAAGATTGAAAATTGGGGAAGGCTCCTATACTTTGGTTCAGCAGACTAACTTGTGATGTAACCTGGTAACAAGCAACCCATGATGAAACTCCATCCTCTATGCAACCTATCAAAGGTATATTAGCCCTCTCCATTTTTAATCCTGGTGTCTTGAGAAAGGGGAGATGAAGCCATGGTCATCTCTGTTTAAGTCATCTAAATGCCAAAGATGGGTTTCTTGAACTGCAAATCCCAACATCCCCAGTGTAACGGATTAGCCTGCCTTACAAGGTTGGTGTACAGGCAGTTACAGGCCTGGCTTTAAAAAGCTAAGGAGAGCTTCCTAGCTGAAAGTGCAGTCTGATTGGCTGATGAAATTGGAGGAGATGCTTAGCAACCATTGATGTCCAGAGTCAGAGGGAAGGAAAGAGTTAATGCAACCAGAAGTTTGTTCAGTTTGGAGTTTGAAGGGTTAGTTTAGGAGATTTGAATGGAAAGGAAGGAAAGAAGTTTTGGGAACTTTTATTAGTAAGATGCCTCTTTGAGAAGAGTAATTAATGCCTTCAGGGAGAAGGATAAGAAATATAGTGAGCCTCTATAGTGTTAAGAGTGCTGGTGTGGAAAGAGGATTCAAAAGGTTCAAAATAACCTGTTTGTATTCCTGTGTGTGGAACATTATTTTTAAGAAACTAAAGTTATAAAACCATTCTCTGTATAAGTAAAGCCTGATAGACTATTGGAACCACTACGCATCTTTACTGTTCAAGAACAAAATAAACAACATACTCTTGTTTTATTTCAACTGAAGAGTTTGTGTGTCTTCTTGAACATTCTAGAAAAGGAGGAAGCCTATGTATCAATAAATGGTGGCAGCAAAAGAAACCTTAATAATCAATTGGTGGCAGCAAACAAATAATTACTATTCAGGGGTAGTATCCCACTGCCCTATGTGTGTACCCTTTGTCCCCTTCAGCCTGCGCTGGCCAGCCTGTCAATCTTTATTGCAGCCAGCGACACTTGGTTTTGAGTCCCCGATAGCACAGTAGGTTAAACCGCTGAGCTGCTGAACTTGTTGACCGAAAGGTCGCAGGTTTGAATCTGAGGAGTGGCCTGAGCTTCCGCTGTTAGCCTGAGCTTCTGCCAGCCTAACAGTTTGAAAATATGCAAATGTGAGTTGATCAATAGGTACCACTCCGGCGGGAAGGTAACAGCGCTCCATTCAGTCATTCTGGCCACATGACCTTGGAGATGTTTACGGACAACGCCGGCTCTTCAGCTTAGAAATGGAGATGAGCACCAACCCCCAGAGTTGGACACGACTGGACTTAATGTCAGGCGAAAAGCTTTACCGACACTTGGTTTAATGCATGCAAGTGCCTCCATGGTTCTCACAGACTGTAGTCACTTCATATACCCCATCCTGTGGCACTTGACTATATCTTATGAGGTTCTCTACATCCAGTCAGATTGCCAATAGCTGAACGGTTTGGGCATTTTCCCCTCTGTTTTAGATAAAGTTCAAGATCGTCGCACGGCGGGAAGGGGACATTGCCTCGTGCTTTGCAAACCCAGCCCTGGCAGAAGAGGAGCTGGGCTGGAAAGCAGTCTTTGGCCTGGACAAAATGTGTAAGTAGAGCCACACGGTCCCTGGCCCAATCCACCCTCCTTTTCGAGTTAGGAAATAAGCTTTCCATCTTCCCTTCCATACTTGTCTATTGGGTTGCCTAATGAAACTAGTTGGAGAAAAGACATAAATGAAGGCTGCATTGTTCTCATAGAGTTGGAAGGGAGGGGCCCCATAGGCGATGGAGTCCTCCCTGCTCAATGTAGGACCTCCAGCTAGATCAGTGTTTCCCAACCTTCCTTAATACAGCTCCTCATGTTGTGGTGACCCCCAACCATAACATTATTTTGTTGCTACTTCATAACTGTAATTTTGCTACTGTTATGAATCATAATGGAAATATCTGATATGCACTGGACCAAATTGGCACAAATATCCAATACGCCCAAATTGGAATACTGGTGGGATTAGGGGAGGGTTTGATTTTGTCACTTAGGAGTTGTAGTTGCTGGGATTTATATTTAACCTACAATCAAAGAACATTCTGAACCCCACCAATGATGGAATTGAACCACACTTGGCACATAGAATTCCCATGACCAAGAGAAAATACTGGAAGTGTTTGGTGGGCATTGACCTTGAGTTTTGAAGTTGTAGTTCACCTGCATCCAAAGAGTACTATGGACTCAAACAATGATGGATATGGACCAAAATTGGCACAAATGCTCAATATGCCCAAATGTGAAGACTGGTGGAGTTTGGGGAAAATGGACCTTGACATTTGGGCTTTGTAGTTCCTGGGATTTGTCGTTCACCTACAATCAAAGAGCATTCTGAACCCTACCAACGAGAGAATTGGGCCAAACTTCCCACACAGAATCCCCATGACTAACAGAAAATACTGTGCTTTCCGATGGTCTTTGGCGAATCCTCTGAGACTTCCCTTGTGATTCCCAGGTTGAGGAATGCTGAGGAAAGCATTCCCAATTGTGCAATCCCTTTTGGAAACATAAGGAAGACCCCACGGACTCACTACCCCTCCTAGTAATGTACCCATTGCTTACTTTTCTTCTCTTTTCAGGTGAGGATTTGTGGACATGGCAGTCACAGAACCCCTCGGGCTTCAGCAAGAACTAGTCCTGGGAATACAGCGTCCATTCCTCCGTTCGCACAGCCCTTGCTGCGCCAGTGCCAGGCCAAGGACTGGGTAGCTTCTCACTCAGGGAAGGCCATTACTCCTGCTTTTGTCTCTCTGTTCCTCACTCCTTTTTGTATGATTGACATGCGGCTGCCAGTTGGGACCAGTGGCTCTCCTGTTTTATCCATTCCCCTCATTTTCCTGACAGCTGGGTTCATACAGGACAAGGACCAAGGTAGAAATGAAAAATGACAGCAGCATCCTTTGTGGACCAAGGTTTGATGATGGTTGCTGTTTGGAACCCAACTTCCACAGCTAGTTCTTTGTCTTTTGTAGCTCTAAGATGGAAATAGCTTAGTTGGGAGCTCAGTTACTAAAATAGGGACTGGGAGATGCTGACAGTTAGTTTGGCTAGATGGCTGCAGCCAGGGCTTTGACCCTTTTATCATTCCCCTTTCAATGTATTGTCGAAGGCTTTCATGGCCGGAATCACTGGGTTGTTGTGAATTTTCTGGGCTGTATGGCCATGTTCCAGAAGCATTCTCTCCTGTTTCGCCTGCATCTATGGCAGGCATCCTCAGAGGTTGTGACGTCCGTTGGAAACTAGGAAAATTGGGTTTTTATATCTGTAGAATGTCCAGGGTGGAAGAAAGAACTCTTGTCTGCTTGAGGAAAGTGTGAATGTTTCAATTGGCCATCTAGATTAGTATTTAATGGCTCAGCAGCTTCAAGGTCTGGTTTCTTACTGCCTGGGGGAATCCTTTGTTGGGAAATGATTAGCTGGCCCTGACTGCTTCTGGTCTGGAATTCCCCTGTTTTTGAGTATTGTTCGTTAATTACTGTTATGATTTTGGAGTTTTATAATACTGGTAGCCAGATTTTGTTCATTTTAATGGTTTCTTCCTTTCTGTTCAACAATTCCACAGATATATAAACCCCATTTTCCTAGTTTCGAACAGACCTCGCAACCTCCGAGGATGCCTGCCATAGATGCAGGCGAAACCTCAGAAGAGAATGCTTCTGGAACATGGCCATACAGCCCGGAAAACTCACAACAACCCAATTCCCCTTTCAGTTTCCTGTTTCTAAATTATTAATAAGTAAAATGACAGTGGGAGAGGAGTACATCCAACTCCTCATGTTGCCCATTCTAGAAAGCAGCTGAAAGTCCTGCTAGTATCCTACAGGGGCAAAAGCTTAGGCCTCTTCCACGAAACTAAATCATATCCCACATTTCCTGCTTTGAACTGGAATATATGGCAGTATGGACTCTGATAACCCAGTTCAAAGCAGATATTGTGGGATTTTCTGCCTCGATAGTCTGGGTTATATGGCTGTGTGGAAAGGCCCCCAAATAGACTTGGGGTAAACGAAAAAAGGAACCTTAACTTTGCCTTTTAGCTAGTAACGGGGCCGAAATTCTACACAGTGGCCTATGTTTCGTAACTTTATGAACCTGTAGGTAGATAGCAGAAATGCAATAAAACCCTGCTAATGAATTGCAAAAATCATAGAACTTGAGCTGGAAGAGATCCCAAGGGCCTTTTCCTGCCTGGCAAGAACACATAATCAAAGTACTCCCAAAAGATGGCCCTCCAGCCTCTGCTTAAAACTTCCACCAAGTGCCAGATGTACATCCAGGCACTGGCAGGGGTTTCCCAATCTGCATCGGAATTTCTGATGCGTCCCACAACTTCCCACCCAGTGCCTGGATCACAGGTGTTACTTGACTAGCTACCATTGTACAATGGACTTTGCTGTCTCTAGGTAAATATAAATGTTGCAAATCTATTTAAGTCCAATCCCAACCATATAAGTCTACTTATAGCCATTATTATTTCCGTTATTAAAACTAGGACCAAACCATCTTGGACAATTAATCTGCTCTTTCTGGAATGGGCAGGTTTTCAAATGAATTGGAAGGACCCTTGGGGAACTGCAAGCAAACAAGGAGGGTGGGTATGGTAATGGATCTTCCATATTCCCCCAAAAAACAAATTCAGCACCTGGTTCGAGTAAACCTCGAGGTCAAAAGCATTTCGGTCCCCTCCTACAATTATGAAACATTTTATTAAATCATTTCCTTTCTAAGTGGCTCCTGGTTTTTTGTCTCCAAGTTAAAGAAAGGTCAATAATTGTTTTAAAGCCAACAGTTGGGAATCTTGACCTCTGAGATTTGTGTGTGTGTGTGTGTCAGGAATGACTTGTGAACCTGCAAATTGCTTCTTGTGTCAGAGAATTGGCAGTCTGCAAGGACATCCATGTCCCCACATGGGGAGCTGGAGCTGACAGAGGGAGCTCACCTGCACTCTCCCCAGATTCGAACCGTTTAACTCATTGTGACACCAGGAGCTCCTACCTCCGAGATTATTTTGTACTGCCACACCCATAATCCCTCATTGTTGGCCATAAAGGCCGGGGCTTTGGGGAGTTGGAAATTCCAAGGCCTCTGAAGGATTTCAAGTTCTCCCACTTCACCTGAGAGCCATCTTTCAGGCTGTACTGAAAATCTCAGTTGAACCAATGTGTTTACATTGTAAGATCTGCCATGATACTCTTTACTCAGACATCTCCTAGAAGACGTGAGGGCAATTCAAATCCTAATAGTATAAATTGGTTGGATGGCGCTGCATTTTCACAAAGGTTACTCCCAGCTTTTATTACAGCACCAGGAGTAACATGGTAAGAAAAATAGAGCTCATTGACTTTAGTGGGACTTTTTGGGCAAGAGGGTTACAGCTTCCTGCCCCACAGTCTTGGCTAATGCATTCGATTGGTACACCATTGCCCCCAAAAAGCAGTTTCTTGAGAAAATCTTTTGTTCACCATGAGCATTCTGCTTTTTGCTTTCAATTACTCAACCAGACTTTAGCTGAGGTCTCAATTCCTTCATGTTTTGGACCAATAGTGAGCACAATGAAAGCTATTACAAGAGATATATTATTATGGCTGGACAGACATGGTGGCACCTCTGGAGAAACCGTTATGGAAGCAAAGTCCCAGGTCAATCCCTGGAAATGAAGCTAAACATTGAAACCAGTACTAAAGCAAATGGACCAAAAACAAAACAACAAAATCCCTCTTCCTGGGGATTTTTTTTTTCTACCTGAAGAGTTTGACATTATGCCCAAGCTCATAAACGGTTTCAACTCAAATCCACTTCAAACGCAAGTAAGACTCTGTTTTCTCCTTGGGTTTCTAAATGTTTTCTTGCTTATATAAACTATGGAAAGTTTCCTTTTTGCAAGAATGAGGATTAGAATGTTTTGATCTCAAAAGAGAAGAGAAAATGCAACTCGTATTCCAATTCCTTCCTTCCCAAAGACAAGGAAAGCTCACCTTGCAGTTGCAGGCTGTTCTGTAGAAGAGAGGTGAATGGGCCGAATCTGGACAAAGACATGGACATCTGGGATGGTGAACATGGTCTTTTCTGTTTCTTCATGCCCACTCGTTCTCCCTGAGAACGTTCCATGGAGAATCAAGGGAGAATTGTAAATGGAGTCATGTTGGTTTTGAGCAGTGGTTCCCAACCTTTTTTTGACCAGGGACCACTTTGACCACGGAATGCTCTCCAACATTAGTACAAAAAGGGTTACAAATCAGTTTTGGTGAATTTTGGATTCAGTTTGGTTGTTTGGGGTGCCAATTCAGAAAATTGCATTGGATATACCATATCAGCTCTAGTTTCTGACACAGAACATATGCCATCCAGTAGTCACCATCTGCGCACCCACAGAAGACCATATTTAATAAGCCTCGGCACGATAACAGGGTTTCACAAGACTAGTCGCTCTTGTTGCAATGGTGTAGTAAGCGAGGCCACAGACCATATTTTAGTTCTTGCGGACCACTGGTGGTCCGCAGACCACAAGTTGGGAACCACTGTTTTTGAGGAAAGGGAGAATAACTGGAGGACTGATCAGAGACCTCCTCCTTGAGATGAACCTCCTATCACAGAAAACAAAAACCTGGATCCAACTGATTACATTTCTATTTATTCACATTCCTGGGCTGGGAATCTCCCTCTCCACATCCCAGCATGTACTTCTGAATGCAGAAGTGGCAATGGAAGGGACACTCTTTCCTCAAATAGCCAGCATTTAAGGGAGAAATCTTTGCTTTTCACACAAGCTTCCATTCACCTCTGCTTGCTTTATGCATGAGAGCACACACCTAACTGCAGGAGAGGCCAGCCTGCATTGACCACAGCAAACAAAACAACCAAGTGGCACCATGATGGTTGTGTTTGTTTTAATACATCAGTGGAACACAAAAAAAAAATAAAAAGGACATATGAGGAAGACAAAAGGAGAGGGGACTCGGGGGGGGGGGGGGATGTACAGAAACGAAGAAGCCGTCTTCTTCCTTGGGCTTCCGGTCTTGACATATTTCCCCCCAGAGAGACCTGTGATGATGTGCCAGCCATTTGGAGGACTGCTTTGGAAAAGGTCCAGCCGGGATTGAAGCGGGAGCAAGGGCAGCAGTGGCTAGAGAACTCTTCTGTGTGCCACGGCTGTGTGGAACAATCCAGTTCATGATCTAAGCCACAGACCTTGAAGAAGAGGAGAGGCGCAAGAGCCAGCCAGACGTTTCCTGGAGGCCAGTCCTTTGTGCCTGCTTACTCACCTATCCTACTTCAATGCGTAAGGAAGCGGAGATCTGGCCCATAGATGCGGCAGAAGGGTGCTGCTTCTGACTACATGCCCAAAAGGTCCAACAGAAATGTGTCCCGCTTCACTTGCAATTATGAAGCTAGTGGGAAATGGAGGAGAGTGGTCTCGAAACTCCTTGGGGGCTGGGTGGTACTACTTGCAAAGATTTTGGTTTGTTGTTAAATACAGAGCAATACTCATAAACCACACATGCACACAGTGAAGTTATGAAGTGGTGCAACTAATATGACCCAGGATTTTACTACTTCCTTGCTTGAGTGAGGCCAGGCCTGAGTTCTCCCACCTGCTGGGATGTCCAAGCGCAGAAGTACAAATGAAGGACTGATATCCTCCAAGCAAGAGAGACATCTTCACTGTCAAAGCCACTCCTTTAGAATGAATTATCAGTTAATGGAATGATTACTGCTTTCCTCTGATGACAAAGAGACTCTAATAATCTGCTCCCTTTCCCCATTGCTTCTCCCTTTGTTTGTTTGAATGTGAGCAGCTCTGGCCTGAAACTAGATATCTGGCCTCACTGGGATCTGCAAAGTTCCTGCAAGCATCAGAGGGACACCACTGACTCCTCAGCTACTAACAAGAGAAGCGGACAAAGGGGCGAGGCTTCGCAAAGGAGCCATGCCTGGTCACGGTCAACTCTCCCTGCAAGTTCAGCTTCAGCCAGGAGGAGCGGGCATTGCAGGAAGCAGCAGCGAAGGCAGAAGCAGGACTTGCACAAGAGGCAAGCTGGGTAGTTTTTCCTCACAAGCACAAAGAGGAGAGCCACACAGCCCGATGGGGCTCCACAATGGCGGCAATGTGTCCTGGATGAAGGAAGGGGCCTTCCTGCTTCCATCAGGATCAGGTGTTATTCTGTTTGCTGGGCATTAGCTGCATCCTGTAAGCCAGGTGTACAAAGCCACAGCCTTCCAGGTGCCACTGGACTGCCACTCCCATCAACCCCAGACAGCACAGCCAATGATGCAAGATTGATAGGAGCTGCAGTCTAACAACATCTGGAGAGCCAGTCACCCAGTCCTGCCATAAGAGGAAACCAGGAATTCTGGGAGGGGACTGGATCGTTCACCTTGCTACTGCCAACCTCAAGAGGGTAGGAAGCAAGTCAACCAAGTCCACACAAGGAGGGAGATGCCAGAATATGGGAAGCAACAATAGCTATTTGCTGGAAGAAAAAGAAAGGGAATTAAGCTCTTGTATCGGAGGCTGATATTGGAGGGGAGGTTTAAGAGAACATTTGCTGTTCAACAGCCAACCCCATTGCTAGAAATGAGGTGGGGGCCCAACTCCTGTTGAAAGGGGGAGGCAGGCGCGAGAACTTGGAACAATGCCAGCCACCAGGGCTAAGAGGAGCCGCTACGCTCGGCAGACTGAACAGATGGAGAGGTGGCTGAAAGACAGGCTGCGCTCGGATGCATAAAGGGAGCAAAGCCGCTCGATATGAATCAGAAACCAGTGCAAGGAGGGGCTCTGGAGGAGGTCCAAAACAGCAGCCTGCAGCCAGACAAACCACTGGGGCAGATTCTGAGGGCCAGATGTCTGAAAGATAGATTGTTGTACGCTCACTCACTGGTCAAGATGGACACAGCAGGCTGAAGACAAGGGGAGCAGAGAGGAAGGTGGAAGAAGAAACAAAAGGTTTGCTTGAAAAGAAAAACAACACAAACCACACACAACGTTGCATTGAGTCCTGCAGAGGCAGTTGGGGAGGGCTTCCACCGCACTAGCCCCGACTAAGAGCACAACCTGTGAGTTGTGTGTGCGCCAAACAGTGCAGGGAAGGAGTCAGCCCCAAGGTGTACTGGGGGACAGCGGAGGACAATCCCTTTGCTCCCCCTCCCTGTCAGCACACGCTCCCTTGGCCCTGGCAGCCTGATTGGACTTCAGAGCAAAGGTTTAAAGGACAGAGCTCAGTGGAATAGATGCCCAGAAAGGCCCCTGCCTCCAAAGCCTCCAGAAAGCCAACCAGTGACTTGAAGGCAGGGCTCTGATCTTGCCGTTGCCCCTCGGCCAATTCCAGTGGATTGTGGGCCGCAGAGGAAGGAGGCAGGGCACTGGGGGCAGGGGTGGTTTTGGGTGGGTCAAATGGCAAGCTCATCAGGGAGTTCGGCTACTGCTGAGATTCTCCCTGCCAATACTGTAACAGTCTCCTAACACCTGTGTTTTGAAGCCTTTGGCTATCACCCATTAATTTCACAGCAACCATTTTTTTCTGAAGTGGAAAAGGGAAGAAAGGGGAAAAATGGAGAGAGCAGAAAAAAAAGAAATCAAGATGACCATAAAGACTCATTTGAACGGAGGCAGCCATGTTTGGGGTCTCAGCTGTACCTTAAAGCCGCTCTGTACCACCGTCCTGTGCAGAGAAGGGAGGTGTTGCCCCTTCGCTTGGCACAGGAAGGGCACAGAGGAAGGGGGAAGGCCAGAGGAGGGAAACTGGCTGAGTGGAGGGAGCTGCCATGGCTTTCCATTGTTGTTGTTGTTGCTGTCGCCAGGTGAAGGGTGAAAGGTCGTTGGTGGCTGCCCCCATCTCCTCTCCCTGCAACAGTCTTGAGGAGTTCCATTCAAATCCTGGGCAGGACTTTCTCCATGAATTCTTTCACAGCCAACATTTCCTGCACAGATTGAAAGGAGGATGGTTGTATTGGCCTGAGGTTACAACAAACCCTGAAAGCATTCTCTCCTCTTTTTAGAGGTCAAACAAGACCCAAAACCTTCATCACCAGACCATTAACTTCAGGGGTTCATTTGGAAAAGAGCCCCCATGTCCACACACAAATGCACCTGTGCCCCAATGCTAAAAATGGAAACCAACTCAGGTGAAACTGAAGAGATTTTGATAGCCACTGACTGACCTGAGGGCAGGAGCTGTGCATCACTCCTGGGTAGGTTCTAAACTGGATCTTGCTAGGGGTCACCATACACTTCAGCTTCTCAGCGGTCAGGGCTCCAAAGCGTACTGGGATCATGGGGTCCATCTCCCCATGGCACTGCAGGATGGGAGTGTCTTTGTTCATGCTGTTACTTGCCGCCTGCAAGGAAGGAAGAAATAAAGAGTAGCAATAGGGCAATGCTTCTCAACCTTCCTAATGCCTCCTCCCCAAATACAGTTTCTTGTGTTGTGGTGATCCCCAACCATAACATTATTTTCGTTGCTACTTCATAACTGTCATTTTGCTACTGTTATGAATCATCATGTAAATATCTGATGTGCAGGATGTATTTTCATTCACTGGACCAAACTTGGCACAAGTACCCGGTATGCTCAAAATCTGAAAACTGGTGGAATTTTGGGGGGGGGGGGGGGGGGTTGATTTTGAAGTTTGGGAGTTGAAGTTGCTGGGATTTAAAGTTAACCTACAATCAGAGAGCATTCTGAACTCCACCAGTGATAGAATTGGGCCAAACTTGGCACACAGAACTCTCATGACCAACAGAAAATACTGGAAAGATTTGGTGGGAATGACCTTGAGTTTTGGAGTTGTAGTTCACCTACAACCAGAGAGCACTGTAAACTAAACCAATGATAGATCTGGACCAAACTTGGCACGAATACTCAACATGCCCAAATGTGAACACTGGTGGAGTTCAGGAAAAATAGACCTTGACATTTGGGAGTTGTAGTTGCTGGGATTTATAGTTCACCTACAACCAAAAAGCCCCTTGAACCCCACCAACGATAGAATTGGGCCAAACTTCCCCCTGCCTAATAATAATAATAATAATAATAATAATAATAATAATAATACTTTATTTATACCCCACCACCATCTCCCCAAGGGACTCGGAGCGGCTTACATGAGGCCAAGCCCAACAACACATCGATAAAAACAAGCAATAAGCAAAATTAACAATACAATTAATATAATTCACACATAGACAATAACACACAATGATTTAAAAACCTATGGCCGGGCCAGATGTAATAGTTAAAACCTTAAAAATAAATGCTGGACATGAACAGAGGATGTATCTAGTAGGAGGGTTTTAAACCAAAAGTAGACAGCAACCCAATGGGCAATTAAAGTGCTTCTCAGGATATTTTGCAGGTGATTGTTTCCTGCCTTGAAGGGACTCATTGGTGTGAGCTTCCCTTCAGCCTCACATACTCCCCCTTGCCTGCACATGGACACCACACTGCCAAGCACACTTGCTCTCCCCTCCCCGCTTGAAGTCTCAGAAACAGCCCTCCCCTTAGCTGAGAGGCTGGCCAATCACAGTGGAGGATGGCTTTTTTTTCCAAAAAGGAAGAGGACAGGTGGAGAGCTCTTCAGCCTTCTTTGCCAAAGGGGTCCCTAAGACCTTCAGAAATATATGTTTTGTGGTGATCTTTGGTGACCCCTCTGAAACCCCCTTGCGACCCCCCCCCCCCGGGCCCCGAACCCCAGGTTGAGAAACGCTGCAATAGGGCATGAGAACCAAGATGTGACCGATCAAGGTAGAACTGCAAGAGTGATGCACTGCATTGCATTCTGGGAGATACGACATCCTGGAAATTAGCCCTTCTATCAGATAGTCATTTTCCGATTTTGGAAGAGCACATCTCTTGCCCCACCTCACTGAGAGGGCAATTTAGGAAGAAAGGATGCCATGGTACCTGAGGGAAGGTCTTGTGCAGGGGGAGCCAGCAGCTGAGGCCCACGATGCCGGCCAGTTGATGTTGGCAAGTGAGCGCCGTGTAGAGGGACAGTGCACCACCCTGGAAAAGCAAAAAGATGAGAGCAGGTCAGGGGCTGCTCCAAGGTGCCCTCCATCCAAGGAGAGTCACACACCGCTTCAGCCCAAGCTGCCCTCCCTCCTCTCCCTGCCACGTACAAAACAACAGTGCTTTCTGGTTCTTCAAAGAGATAGCTTGTGTTGAATGCATCTACTTGGCAGAGGACAACCTTCCCAAACACAAGGACAGGACACCCTCACCAATATACTGCTTGACTTGCAAAAATAGCGAGCATTCTACCACTGGAACAAATGACATTTCAGAAATATTTGAAATTAACTAGGTATTTTAATTACAAACATGTAAGTCAGGCACTAAAATGGTTAAATGGATGCAACGATTCATCAAAAGCTGCAGTTCTATATAAGCAGGTGTGCCTGTAGCTTAGGAGCCATCAGTCTGAGGTAAACCTCAGTGTGAGAAAGGTCTCAGTTTGTGAGAAGGCCTCACAGTGTGAGGTAGGCCTTAGTCTATGAGAAGGCCGAGTGTGAGGAGGTTTGGTGTGGGAAGCTTTGCTGAAAGAAGCCCCAGGTTGAAGGCCTTGTGTGTAAAGCCACATGTGTAAAGCTCCAGTATAAAGGCTGCTGTGTGTGAAATGCTACTGTGTGAAGCTCCAGTATAAGTTTGTTATGAGAGGAGGCTCTGTGAGAGCAAAGCTGTTTATCTGCATGAGAAAGAAGCCAAGCATGGAAACAAAGAAGGAAGTATAAAGGACTTTATTTGTGTTGTGGAAATCTTGTTATTGCAAATAGTGCAATTATATTATTTTACTACAAAGAAAAGCCTCCTATGGAAAATATAACATTGGTCTGTGTGTTTCTTGGTCTTTTTATCACCTTGGGCTACTGGCGCTGGGTCACGTAGTTGCTGATAAGTTACTCTGCTGTGCATTCATGGGGAGGGTCTTTTGTAAATAGGCCCACTCGCCGAATATGACATGCATATGTATAAAATCTTCTACCAAACAGAAAGGAGTGAGGAGACTAATTTGTGTCCAAAGTCTTGTCCTGCATTTACCAACTAGTCTCTAGCTCTCAAATTCTGTGCTCAGTGTCCAAAGCTGTATTTCCTCCAGCCATAAGGGCTACAAACATGTTTGACAGAAGTAAAAGTCAAACCACAGATTCAAAAGCCACTTAATGCACCAGATTATGAAACATAATAATAATAATAATAATAATAATAATAATAATAATAATAATAATAAACTTTATTTGTACCCCGCCCCATCTCCCAACAAGGGACATAGTGCTGTGAGGTCTTCAACTGGGATGCTTCCTCCCTGATCTTAGAAGGGCTGCTCATAATCCAACACAATAATAATAATAATAATAATAATAATAATAATAATAATCTTTATTTATACCCCGCTACCATCTCCCCAGGGGACTCGGTGCGGCTTACATGAGGACGAGCCCAGAATACAACAATACAAGCAATTAAAATCAAACAAGACAATAAAATCACCTTGCCTATTCACTGCAAAGACAGTGGTGGCAGCATCTACCTTTGCATGTGCCACAAATGCTGAAGTCCTACTCTCCTAATGCTGTTGTTCATACACAAGTCTACAAAGCCAGGGACAGCCCCTTTCAAGCAAAACACTGCCTTCCAGCTCCCCCCTCACCTGTGAAAAGCCCCCCAAGATGATGCGGTTGGCTGGGATGCCGTTCTTTATCTCGTGCTCGATGACTGCTTTAACTGAAAGAGAGAGGAGAAGTTGTTCACTGGGGCAGTCTCACAAGCCTTACGTACTTGGTGCTAAATGCAATGCAGTCAGGAGCAATAAATTATGAAAACAAACACAGTTGACCCTGATTCTCTGCCATGTTTTCTGAAAAGCTTGTTTTTTTAAAACCTCTGCAAGGCCTGCGGGGCAGGGATCAGGGAGAAAAGACTGGCACATGAAAGGAGGTGGTGGTGTAACAGCAAGGAAGAGAGAGCATTGGAGCCTTCCTCCTGCATCTGATCAACTCTGCCATATCAAGACTGATGCTGTCCCAGTGTGAGCCATGGCACTCTGGGATTTGTGGCAAGAAATCAACATAGCTGCTGTGCTAAATCTGCACCTTGCTCACAACCTTTCATAGAATCATAGAGTTTGAAGGGACCCCAGGGGTCATCTCGTCAAAGCCCACCCGACAGATAACCATCCAGCCTCTGCTTGAAAGCCTCCAAAGAAAGAACTTCTACTGGACTCCAAAGCAGTGAGTTCCACTGCTGAAAAGATCTTCTTACTGTCAACTGCTTTGAGTCCCCCCAGGGGTGAGAAAGGCAGTATATAAATGCTGTAAATAATCTATATAAATAAAAATGTAATGTTCATTTGTGGGATTAACAGAAATAAAAAACCAGTGGGCGAACTGACACCAAATTTGGACAGCATACACCTAACAACCCAATGTATGTCCTTCACTCAAAAATTGTTGATTTTGTCATTTGGGAGTTGTAGTTCCTGGGATTTATAGTTCACCTACAATCAAAGAGCATTCTGAACTCCACCAATGATGGAACTGAACCAAAGGTAACACATAGGTCTCCCATGACCAACAGAAAAGACTAGAAGGGTTTGGTGGGCATTGACCTTGAGTTTGGGAGTTGTAGTTCAGCTACACCCAGAGAGCACTCTGGACTCAAACAATGATGGATCTGGACCAAACTTGGCACAAATATTCCATATGCCCAAATATGAACACAGATGGAGTTTGGGGAAAATAGTCCTTGACATTTGGGAGTTGTAGTTACTGGGATTTATAGTTCACCTACAATCAAAGAGCAATCTGAACCCCACAAACGACATAATTGGGGCAAATTTCCCACACAGAACCCCCATGACCAACAGAAAATACTTAAGGCCATCCAGTCCAACTCTCTTCACCAGGGCAAGAAAATCTAATCAAAGCCCTCCTGACAAAGAGCCATCCAGCCATATAGATAGATAGATATGATTTACACACACACAGATATAATATCATAGATTTGAAAGGGACCCCTAAAGAAGGACAATGATATGTTGCATATTCCAGAGTAGGAAAACCAGACACTCTCCACATCAACACTGACAAAGAAACAACAAGAAATACTGTTTACCCACAAGCATAAAGAAATCACATAGATTAGAAACCATTGCTTTATTTTCCAGAGCACCAGACTGGGCCACAGCAACGTGTGGCAGGGACGGCTAGTAAATAATAATAATGTAATGTTCAGGTTGAATCTCCTTTCCTGTCATTTGAACCCATGGCTCCACTGTGGCCTAGTCTCCAGGACAGCAGAAAACAAGCCTGCTCCTCTTCCTCAAGACATCCTTTCAAGTGAGAATCTATGCTCAGCCTTCCAGTTCAGAGCCACAGTGTCGCACCAGCTCCAGAAACAGCCATTCTAAGCCTTGCAAGCTGAACAGACTGCACCTTCGCTCAATGTGACTGAAAGCAGACAGTGTGATGGTGTCAGGCGTTTGCATGTCAGCAGGTGAGTCCTGGGAGCACATACTCCTTCTTCACCTCCTTCCCACTGAAATGACTTCTTTCCTTGTTTATCCTGCTACCACTGATTTCCATTTCTGTGTGACATTGGAACTACTATTGGTGTCAGGGCATATCAGAACTATGGTTAACACTCACAAGAAGCAAATAATATTTTTAGAGGCAACAGAAGGTAGGAAGTTCTGGAGGCAGCTCATGATATGCCAAAGAGAGGGGGCCAACCTGACTCTCAACCAAGCTGAAACATCTCAGATTGATGCTTTCATGCCTTCAGGGTGTTAACTCTCCCTGACCAACTCCCTGGCTTTACTTCCTTTGCAAGTTCAGAGCTGAATGAAAAAGGAAACTCATCAGTTCTGCCAAATTATCAAATGCTGGCACAGCTATGATTTGAAGAAATATAGGCCAACCCCCAAACAGTCAAGTATTTCTTACTGTTGTCAGCAGCTTTTTTAATCCCAGTTTCATCTTCGGGTGCATCTGGACTGAGGCCCATTAAATCAAACCTGGAAGGAAAAGAAAAAGGAGAAAAGTCATGTACAAGATCATACCAGCCTCGATTATGAAAGAATCATAGCATTAGTTGTATGAGAGATCCAGCTACATCGTTGGAAAAGCCAAACGAGACTTCTTCCTCACGTTTTCTGGAACCTCCCACTTTGAGCCCCATTCAGGAGGGAAGAAGGCTACACTGGCCAACATATAGAATCATAGACCTCATGGGTCATCCAGTCCAACCCTATTCTGCCAAGAAGCAGGAAAATCGCATTCAAAGCACCCTCAACAGATGGCCATCCAGCCTCTGTTTACCTAGTCTCCAGGGCAGCAGAAAACAAGCTTGCTCCCTCCTCCCTATGACTTCCCCTCACATCTTTATCCATGGCCCTCATGTCTCCTCTTAGCCTTCTCTTCTTCAGGCTAAACACGCCCAGCTCTTTAAGCTGCTCCTCATAGGGCTTGTTCTCCAGGCCCTTGAACATTTGAGCCACCCTCTTCTGGACACATTCCAGCTTGTCAACATCTCCCTTCAATTGTGGTGGCCAGAACTGGACACAGAGTGATTCCAGGTGTGGTCTGACAAAGGCAGAATAGAAGGGTAGTATGACCTCCCTGGATCTAGACCAGGGGTCCTCAAACTTTTAAAACAGAGGGCCAGGTCACCTTCACTCAAACTGTTGGAGGGCCGGATTATAATTTGAAAAAACCATGGATGAATTCCTAGGCACACTGCAGATATCTTATTTGTAGTGCAAAAACACTTAAAAACAATACAATAATTAAAATGAATAACAATTTAAAGAAATATAAACTTAGTAGTTCAATGGGAAATGTGAGCCTACTTTTGGCTGATGAGATAGGATTGTTGTTGTTGTTGTGTGCTTTCAAGTCGTTTCAGATTTAGGTTGACCCTGAGTGAGGGCCGGGTAAATGACCTTGGAGGGCTGTATCCGGCCCCCAGCCCTTAGTTTGAGGACCCCTGATCTAGACACTAGGCTCCTATTGATGCAGGCCAAAATCTCGTTGGCCTTTTTAACCACTGCATGACATTGTTGGCTCATGTTTAACTTCTTGTCCACAAGGACTCCAAGATCTTTTTCACACATACTGCTGTTGAGCCAAGCATCGTCTCCTATTCTGTCTCTTTGCATTTCATTTTTTTCTGCCTAAGTGGATTATCTTGCATTTGTCTCTGTTGAACTTCATTTGGTTAATTTTGGTCAATCATCTCTCTAATCTGTTAAGATTGTTTTGTATTCTCCTCCTGTCTTTGGGAGTATTGTCTCTCCTTCCCAATTTGGTATCGTCTGCAAACTTGATGATCATGCCTTCTAACCCTTCATCTAAGTAATAAAAAAAGATGTTGAACAGAACGGAACCCTGCCGATGGCACTCCGCTCGTCGCTTCTTTCCAGGATGAAGAGGAAGCATTGGTGAGCACCTTCTGGGCTTGTGCACTTAACCAATTACAGAGCCACCTAACCATAGTTTTGCCCAGTCCACCTTTGACTAATTTGCCAGGTCATGGGGGACCTTGTTGAAGGCCTTACTGAAATCCAGATCACATGCCTATCCCTATTTAAAAGGCCCAGACTCTCTCTTCAGCAAGGTTAAATGGATACTTCAACCCTAACAGGCATATTCATGGCATGTGCTCTGTGTAATATGTCCCAGACAACTCACTTTTGTCAAACATGATCTAAAGACCTGTGGCTTTTTCTTTGCCCCTCCCACCCTATTGTTTTTTTATTCATATCTTTTCTCATGGATGCTGCAGTTCCATGTCCAATGGCTATATTCCACAGAGGTGCAGAATAGGCAAAGTCAGCCTGTTGCAGAAAACACCATGTACCTGATGATGATTTAAGAACTATTTTAACGGTTTTATACTAACCAGGATGGCATGACCATCTTCATGTTGAGGGTGACTGGGATCCTGGGCCTACGGAGGAAGAGGGAAAGCAAGCTTTAAAAATCCAACATTTTATTTATTTATTTATTTCAAATATTTGTACCCTGCCCTTCTCTACTCCCGAAGGGGGACTCAGGGCAGCTTACAGCTGGTAACACTTTGATGCCTCCTATATACACACAAATAAAATAGAAATTACAAAATAGATAAAACATTAATATAAATTAAAACCATTTAAAATAGTGCAAATTCAATTAATTGGCCAAATTGAAATCTGAGTTCTACAATCAACAACTTGGTCCAAAGCCTGTCCATAGTCCATTTACCACAGCATTGTCATCATTATAAACCAACAGGGCTTCAAACCACAAGGCTCCTAAAAGACCTCGGAAAGCTGCACTCACCCAGTCTCCCAAAATAACACCACCTTTTAAAAACATATTAAAATGGAGATTGGAAAACTGTGGACTAAATCAATTATGTAATGCAAGCCCTTAAGTACTGGATACAGAGCCAGAACTCAAGGAAGGTTATCTTTTTTTGAGCCACCACTCCCAGAATCTCCAACGACAAAACAGGAGGCACCACGCTTTCCCCAGACACAGCCTGCTCTACTGGCCTACCTCCATCTCCATTCTCTTGGAGAAGGCAGTGTTGGGGTGGTGGCCTAGCAGGTCCGCTGGAGACAAAGGCTTTTGGGGATGGAGGAGATCCTAGTGCTTTTGCTGGAGGGTTGCTGAGTAACTGGAGGACATGTTTGCCCTGGATGAGAGGCTCAGGGGCCTGCATCAAGAGGGCTTTGGTATTAGCAGAAACAGAAGGGTGAAGCTCAAATCAAGCAGGACAACAGTGGATTGCCCCGATTCGGAAAGGGCCTGCCCCAGAAGACGTTACACAGAGAGGCCTGCTCTCTAAGATAAAGAGAGGGGAAAAAGGAGAGTTCAAGCTACTGGGATGATAGTGAAGCCAGTTCATATCACAGCCTTGTGGCTCTTTTGTAAAGACTTTCCAGTGTCTGCAAAGAGGATCACAAACAGTAGGTGATACCAGAAAGTGCTTTCTGGTTCTTCAAAGAGAATGAATTTCTGAAGCCATTCTGAAATAGGACATTATACAGCATGGGCCCTCAAACTTTTTAAACAGAGGGCCAGGTCACAGTTCCTCAAACTGTTGGAGGGCCGGATTATAATTTGAAAAAAACATGAACGAATTCCTATGCTCACGGCACATATCTTATTTGTAGTGCAAAAAACACTTTAAAACAATACTATAATTAAAATGAAGAACAATTTTAACAAATATAAATTTATTAGTATTTTAATGGGAAGTGTGGGCCTGATTTTGGCTGATGAAATAGGATTGTTGTTGTGTGCTTTCAAGTCGTTTCAGACGTAGGTTGACCCTGAGCGAGGGACGGGTAAATGACCCTGGAGGGCTGTATCTGGCCCCCGGGCCTTAGTTTGAGGACCCCTGTTATACAGAGTGAGGCAGCATAACTTCCTTTTTTCAAAACTTAATAAACCCCATTGTATGAATCAGAATTTTTTTAATAATGTAGACACATATCTAAAGTTTTGTTTTAAGTAGGTTTGAAGATCAAATTAGGTAGGTGACGTTCCCCATTTTCCATTCTCCATACACTGAGTAAACCGATTTCTGGCGTTTGTCATGACTCTTGCCAGCATAACAGGCGTTATGTTGGCAATTTCTTCCTGGATGTTGGTCTTCAAATCTTGTAGGGTCCTTGGATGGTTCACATAAACATGGGATTTCAAAAAACCCCATAGGAAAAAAAAATCAAGGGGCCAAATCTGGAGAGCGGGCTGGCCACTCCAAATCCACTCGAAAAGTAGGCCTCGACGGCAAAAGCATGCTCCTCACTGTTCCAACACATGATGGCGACTGAACTGTGTCAGGACAAAACTTTATACTCCTGCCTCTCGAACAAGGCCACTAGCGCTCCGCTACGTCTTCAACCGACTGAATGGCGCGCATTTTTAAAAAGGAAGTTATGCTGCCTCACCCTGCACCTTCTTGGTTCTAGATTTTTTACTCCTGGTACACAGGCTTCCTCCTTGCTGCTGCCAGCTGAGTATATTATGGGAGGTGTTGGGAACTGAGATATTAAACATGAGGTGGAATATTTCTTTAGGCATGTGGATGGCGAGCCACAACTTCTGGGCTCCTTCCAGCTTCATGAATGGAAAATGCCACAATCATATCACCGACGGTTCTCTGCCAAGAGCAAAATTTCTCTGACAAACCGCAAACCGCTGTATCTCCTAAAAATGTCACACTCCCTCTGAGCCTGGGAGTAGCGTACGATATGGAAAGCTGCAAATCCCTAGTGGGCAATGCTGTCAAAATGCTGACAGTCCACTTTGCATGAGTGAACAGAATGGGATTTAAAAACCCTCCTTGGGTGGAATCAGCACTGCGGAGCAGGCTGAGGACTGCTAAAGGGAAGGCGAATCTGGCAAAAAAAAGAAAAAAGAATGGAGTAAAGTAGGAGGAATCCTAAGGAAGGAAAAGTGAGGATAAAGGCTTAAAAAGGGCAAGACCCACAGTTCAATTTTAACTGGCTAATGCAGTAGTATCCCGATTCAGAAATACTTTTTCTGAAGAGGCACCAACTGGCAGGCTTTCATGTTGCTTAGGTGTTATAAAAGGCTGAACTGTCTCATAAGCTTACAATTGCTTTTTGTTTTGCTTGATACCATTTTTATTTTAATATTACTGGTGATATTACCCTGCCCTGGAGTCCAAGGGGAAAGGGGTAATTTAGAAATGTTTCAGGTATAATAAAGCCTCCAGTCTAGCACTAAATGAAGGAGAGACTTACGCATGAGGGCAGATGTACTTCACATAAGGGAGCCGGATGGAGGACAGGGCTTCAGCCCAACTGTGCCTGGAGTTGGAGAGAGGATACGGATCAGTATTTGCATGACACAGCACGTCATGAAGCCCTCCTCATTGCCCATCTTTATTGGAAAGGTATGCAAAACATGCCCACAGCTGCTAAACTTGGCAATGGCATATGCCTAAAAATCTTTCTCTGTAATACTTGCCGTTTTAAGGAGTACGGAAGCATCTGTATTAGTTACTCTTCCTGAATGTAAAATCTGCAGGCTACTCAGAAGCAACCTGTGTTCAACTAGTGCTACGTTTTTTGGAATGACCACCGGAATGTACTATGACTATGAGATTGATTATGACCCCAAACTAGACGAACGCGGATTTTTAGTTTAATTAGTTGTTGTATTAGTAAGATGTTATGTTATGGTCTTGATGCATTGTAAATTGTTGTCTTTTCTATGTTCTGTACACCGCCACGAGTCGCCCTTGGGCTGAGAGTGGCGGTTAACAAGTGCAAATAATAAATAAATAAATAAATAAATAAAGCAGTGCTGTGCAAGGCACCTTCCCAGATGCCTTCCAACGTGACACCATATTTTAGATGGGCAACTTATGGCCTCTCCCTCTCAGTAGATTCTCACTGTCTAATCCTATCCTGCAGTCGTCTTCCTCCTCACACCACACAGTTCTCTAATGCTTCCCATTAGAAAGAATACCTATTTTCAGCGTGCATTTCTCAGTCTTTCCTCAGTATCCCCCCTCTCCGTATCCCTCATGCATCAGATGAAACCTCCCAATACTCACCCTGTGTCTCCAAGCCCATGTAAAAAAATGACCTGTGAAGTCAAGCAGAAAAAAAATCCATTAGCCAGCACAGTGACTGAATCCCAAGTGGGTGAATCCCAAGAAGCAGCAGGGCCAATTAGTTGCAAGAATAAATAAGGCAGATTATGCAGGAAGGTGAAAAGCAAGAAGAATCCAACTGCAGGTAAGACGGGGAATATGAATGTCACACACACACAAATTGGGCCCCACTGCAATGAGAGAATATCCACCTCCTTGGAGGAGGAAAAAAACATGACTGACAAAGGCAAAACCAAGTCACCATGACTAACCAGCACTGGGCTACTTTGTCCCTAAAGGCGCATGGCCTCCCCACACCTGAGACACTCCAGACTGCAGGCCAAGGCTATCCCTATCTGCAAGTAGTTCAAACTGTTTGTTTTTTCCTTCTAAAAGGCCATAACAACACAGCTTCAAAAGAACAACAGTGTTCTGATACTGCTTTGATATTTTTTGAATAAATTAGGTAAGCAGAACTGGTTGTAGAGATCTTTTGGGAGGATAAAGGGATCTTTGGAACCCAGCAAGAGATCCAAGGTGATTTCAAAGGCTGGGGAATTGGTGGCCTGCAGATCTCTATGCTCCCTTCCCCAGCTACTAAATGCTGTGCATTCAGATATGAAAATAGCGTATGTTCAAACTTATAAGTTGCAAAAAGTTGGATTTTGTTAGAGGCCCCATTTCAGAAGACCACAACTATGGAGAAATCCAAACAAGAACTCTGGGATATGAATCCCTGCTCAGCCACGGAAATCCTTGGGCACATCATACTCTCTCAGCCTCAGTACAAGCTGGTAAATGAACCTGAACCTCCTCTAAAGAAACCCTGGAGGGAAAACTCTGTGACAGGTTCACCTTAGAAAACAGCAACAACAATCAGGGGCATGAGATCCACCTTGAAAGAGATGGATACAGGGACAGACCATTTCCTTCCTCCTTGGACTGAAATCAGTTCTTCTTGATCACCAAACCCACATAAAACCACCATCAAGTGTTGGCTGTGTTTTGCCTTCCCATGGCTATTGCCAAATGCATTTTTCAGCCTTTCTGAAGAAAACAGAGCTGTTCCTTAGTCATGTCATGAAAGCCATTCAGGTGTGGGTTAAAATATCTCCAACATCCGCCTCATGTGTCTCGGTAGGAGATGCTCACATTGTCAAACCAGCAATCTTTAGGCCCTCGTTCTGGGAAGATTAGCATCACACCACTAGTTACCTCAGGTTTTAATCTGATTTAACTTCAAGATGAGATTCCCCTGACCAGGTGCCATCCAGAGGTGTTAGCTGTGTGTGGATTATGAGAGTAGTAGCTCAATGCATCTGGAGGCAACCAGCTTTGAGGAAGATTGCTCAAGGTGTTCGGGGGGGGGGGGGGGTCTATGACTGACAGAGAGACATTTCTAAGGGGGTCCATTTATAAGAGAACTTAATCCAGAGTGAATGGCTGTAGCTGCTTCACAGCACACTCCTGTAACCAAAGAAAATGCAAGTTCCAAGGCCTCACGGCCGCAGAAATACAAACCTACACATCTTTCACCTTGATCCACCCCACTCTTCAGTCCCAAAATCCAATGTCAGAAAAGCTGCACAATTTGGGGCCAAATTTCTCTGAAAGAGAGCATAGGCTCTTCTTTAGCTTTAGTAGATTGAGTCCACTGTATCTGGGGGGTTCCATTTCAAGACTTTGTGTGGATACAAACAATGCAGATGATCATGCCCCACATTATTAAATAAGTGCTTTAGCATTTCTGTGTTCATGTTGTTGCCATTTAGTAACAATGGACTTGACAATCTGCACTTGGTGGACCCACTATATATTAAGAGAAACATTTAAAAGGAAATCTTATGATGCTTACAATTTTTTAGACAAGCAAAAAAAAATCAGATTCATGCAACGCTAACATCTCACAAATCTTGCACATTTCCTACAGCTCAGACATATTTACAATCCACAGATCTCCACATATCTATCTTTCCTTTAAAAAGGGGGGAAAGTGTAGAGTCAAAACACACGGCTAAAAAATTAGCACGTGTCTGCATTTGCATTGCAGCCCAGAACAAGTGCAGGGGTTTTCCAGTTCTGGAACAGGAAGCTTCTGAATGCTGAGTTTGAAACTTGACTAGCAAAAGTCAGGAGAGCAAGAATCTGTTTAACAGGTACAAAAATTATAACGTAGTACAGATTGCAGAATGAAATACATATCTTTGTTTTTTTTCTAAAAGGACAAGCTATTAGTCCTTAGGAATAAACCCAAACTGATGTCTTAGCAGAGTTTAAAAAACAGTCAGATCACAAGAAATGCCTGAGTCTGCTTGCTAATACTCCATCTATGCCTCGCTTTCCATCTCTGGCTGTTTGGGAGACCAAATTCTTGAAGAATGATGTGACTTAGTCTTATCTAGGCAAGCAGGTGTGCCTCTTGTAATGCAGTCTCTGTGTAGAGTTTGGATCCTGTGAAGTGGGGTGGATACAGTTCACGCAAACACAAAGAATAAACCACTGGGACTAACTGATGGTGTGAAAACAGCCAGGGCTGGCAAGGAGGCAGGGGATTAACGGGGCTCTGAAGCCCCACAAGGGAGGCGTCAAGTGCTATTTCTGCAGAGCCAGCAGCAGGCCGCCAGGCTCTGCCTCTGCATCGGGAGGAGGAAAGCAAGCCTGGGCTATGTATTACCTTGTTAGTGCAGGAGAATCAGCTTTGAGGCTGACACAATTTGGACCAATAATTACCTGCCAGAGGAAATGGAGCTCTTTGTGTGCAGGTCCTACACAAACAACATTTGTAGGATTTACTGGCAAGGAACAATGCCATGGTTTGATCTCTTCTTGATACCCCCCCCCCCCCCCCCCCCGCCAAAGTTGGTTTCAAGCGAACATTTCTGCCTCTGCCATCACTACCCCCTTTGCATGTAGCGGCAGGGCAGAGGGACATGGTGGGAAGGGGAGAGAGGGAGAGACACTGTTAATTCCCCTAATCTTCCTGGATCCTGACAGATGGTAAACCTAAGGAAGGAGGGCTGCCTTACCGCTGCAGTCTCCCGCTCTGCCCCTGAAATGGTCACGGCATCAGCAAGGAGGGGGACAGACATGTTGTTACCGCACATACACCAATGAAAGATTCAACCGCTCACGCCTGCAGGAGACAGAAAGTGAAAAATGAAAAAAAATATGTTTACAGTGTACCAAGCATCAAAGACTGGTGTCTTAGTAGTCCACCCCCAGTGAGAGGAATGGGGGTGGACCACTAAACAAAGGAAAAAGCATGCAAAGGCACTCCATCTAATCCATGCAAGATGTTCAAGCTCCTCTCACAAACCTCCTCTTAGGTTTCTCTCTTCCCTGCCCCAAATAAAAACACGAGGACTAGGAGTTTACTCCAGTGTTTAAAATGACTGCTAAAATATTCAGAGTAGGAAATGCAATGCAGAACATTCCAGATTAAGAAAGGCATTTTTATAATCTGGACACAGCAACATTTCAAATAGCATTCCATTAGTTCTGAAGGATGGACTTCCACTTGAGAAAACGATTCTATCTGGACGCTGCAGTTGCTGGTGGCAAATGGACTGCCTCATCTCCAGGCACATAAAGTAAAAATCTAGAAAGGTTTCTAGTTAATCTGAAGGCCCCCAAAAAGAATAGGGATGCTGACGCCAGGTGCAGCAAATCCCATAACCACAGAAACCCATTTCGCTTAAAGCTGACTCAAAATCTTCCAAATGTTTTCTGATGAGCGGGAAAATACAGAATGTTTATTTAATTCATTCCCCGTTTCCCCCCCCCACCCCCCTCTGTGTTCATATTGTTAGAGAGATATAGATATATATACGCATGCTGCATAGATTTGTGAAGATTTGTGAAGGTGCCCCTTGCAGAGAGAGAAAAAGTTGTCTTAAAAGAGCAAGATTAGGGAGGCATCAGTCCGAACGGCATAAGAATTTTCATTGTGCCAGACGGAATAAAATCCGCTGAATGAAGATGAAGACCCTTGTTCTGATCAGTTGTGATAAGAAAAGCCTCAGAAGAGCCCAAGGACAAAAAGAACGGCTTTGTGATGTTGACAGGAAATAGATGGCCCGGCAAGAGAAGAGCAGACAGGGTCACTGGGACAGAAACATGGAGCGCAAAGATAGGCGGCACGGAGTTCTTCAAAGCATTTTGGAAACAGCATTGGAGTTTAGAGAACTGACAAAATCCTCAGTTTTTTAAAAAAAATCAAGACCTTGTGATTCCAACGCTTATGGTTTGGAGATGAGGGGCAGTACAAAAAGTACAGTACCAAGAAATAATTAGACAAAGCAGGCAAAATTAGACGTTTCCCCTCTCTCAACTCCTAAGTATTTTCCTTCAATAACGCTTTATCTGTCATTTTCCACAACACGACGAATGGCATTTTTCATGTTGAACGCAAAGTGCAAATTAGCCAGCACTCACAATAGGGCTCAGCACAAAACAGATTAAAACCCCTAGACCCACATTATGCCAAAAGCAGCTGAGCAGAGAGTGGGCTACAGACGGGACTGTTTTGTTTTGCCTTTCTATTCTTTTCAGCTCAAACAATGGAGGAGGACATTTCCTCCCGGCGCCTGCTTTTTCCCATCCAAAGAGTTAAGAGCTCGGAGGCCTCCCTCCAGCCCTGAAACAGCGACAAAGTTGGCATGAGAAATGCTTTCTCAGGTGAGAAAAATTCCAGAGGAATGGCTGTGTTGGCTCTTACAGCAGAAACAACAAAGAAGCCTTGTGGTCCAACACATTCATTGTGACCTTTCTTGGATAAAGCTAAAAAGTCACAGAAGTTTAAACATTCTCAATACTATACGGGAGCTCTCATTACTGGGATCATCTTTTAATTCAAAAGCCATGGCTTCAAAACAGGGTTTTTAAACATTTGACTGTGAAAACAACTCCCTGACACACTCCCACTTTGTACACATATATTCCACCTCATGCTAGCTTTACAAACAGACATTCAGTGGTCAAGAGAAGGCAAATATGAAACACTGGACTTTTCAGATATCCACCTGCAATAAGAAAACCGGACTCCAAATAAATAAATAGCCAAAAAGGCAACAATAATATTGCTGGCAACAAGCAAAAGGATAATGTAGCACATTTGAGACTGAGATAACACAAATATCGTAATATAAGCATTCACTGATTCTACTTCATCAGATGTTAGAATATCTATATACTAGCTTGGGGACCTGGCGGTGTTTGTTTTTTGAAGTTTGGTAATATCAGTTTGGTAATGTCTAATGCTATTAGAAAAAGCCAATCTTTTGTTTTTTATTAATGCTCCCAATAGAAAATGCATAAGGATGTGGGTGAACTACAATTCCCAGAATCGTGATTCAGTCTTTCCCAAACCCTGCCATTATTCAAAGTTGGCCATGTTGGGCCCCTGCGCTAAGTGTGGCCGAGATCCGGTATCAACTGGGTTCAGTGATATCCAGATAAGGGTGAACTACAACTCCCAGATTCCCAGGACAATCACCCACAATCCCAGCCAGTAATCGCAGTTGCTCATGTTGGTTCTGTGTGCAAAATTTGGTCTAGATCCATCATCTGCTGTGTTCAGTGCTCTATGGATAAGGGTGAACTACAACTCCCAGATTCCCAGGGCAATCACGCCCAAACCCTGCCAGTATGCACAGTTGGCCATGTTTGGGTTTGTGTGCCAAGTTTGGTCCAGATCCGTTGTTGGCTGGGTTCACAGTGCTCTCTGCATGTAGGTGAACTACAACTCCTATAAATCAAGGTCAATTTTCCCAAACCTGGTCATGGGGGTTCTGCGTGCCAAATGTGGCCTGGGTCCATTATCGAAAGGGGTGACAGTGCTCTGCCTTGATGCAGGGTGAACTACAACTTCCACCCTGTTGAATCAGTCCCTCAAACCCCTCCAGTCTGTTCAGTTGCTGATCAATTCCTCTCTTTGCCTTGTGCCAAAAGAAAGGGTAGGAGAGGGTTAAGGGAGAGGCTGTGGGCGGGATCATGCAAATTCCACACAAAGAACCCCGGGATGCCTGCCTGTGGTGGAGGAAACACATTGGATAACATTGTCCCCGAATGAAAGAATTCCTTGGATGGGTAGTGTTTGGGGTGGACATTGGCAGCGTTTGGGCTACATGTTCATGACGCTCACTATAACCTGCGATGTCAGTTGAGGGAGTGCCTTTGGAGCCTTCTCAGCACTTGGAACTATAACCTGTTTGTGGAGGCGGGAGGTTGTCTGTGTAAGTAGATACCTCCACCATGTATTGATTGATGATAGATATAGATATGAATTGTTAGCTCTAGTTTACTCACAAAAATGGCCATTAGAGGCACAGAGATCTCAAAGTCTTGCATTTCCCCCTACCAGTTTTCATGAAGGAACTTCCACAAATTCTTACTTATCCATTTCACCAGTCACCAGTATAATCCACAGAGCTGACCTGCAATGGAGCCAATCCAAAAATTAGGTTAAACTGATTTTGTTCACATTTTGCAGGTGACTCATGTTTTGGTAGTTCTTTTGAAGATGGAAGACACAAGGAAATGGTAGAGTCTACTTCAAACAAACAATGCAATGTATAGCCTACACCACATTTATTACTTCCTACAGCTGTAGACATCTCTGAACTAAAGTATGCAAGGCAATCATAATTTAAGATATGAAAACAAGGAAACAGAGATGGTTAACAACTCATTGCTGATGCAAGATGAAGGTTTGTTCATTGTAAGCATGGACCCAAAAGCTGAAAGGTTAATGTGAGCTTTTGCCTCCTTCCTATCATCAGGAAAGGCCAAGGCTGCTTTTCCATCGTTGCTGATAATGACGCAGGGACACAAGGATTCATGAGCCTGTGACGCCCCTTGAGCAACCAAGAGCCTGGAGAAGATGGAGTACATCTAATCTGATCACAAATCCGTCCTTCCCCTTTTGTACTTTGTCAATCCCAAGATCTCTCAGAATGGCTTCCAAACTGGACAGCAAAGAACGCTGCCTCAAGGACAATGCCTCCTGTCTCCTCAAGAGTAAGCAGATTGGGAAGGAGAGCACAGGAGCCCATGGAGAGAAATTGTGTAGGACGATGCCTCCTGTCACCTCTAAGCAGATAGTTGAGCTGGTAGGAGGCAATCCTGTGAGATGGGAGTAAGTAAATTCTCCATTTTCTTTAAAGACAGAACACCACACAAGGAAGACAATTTCCCCCAATTTCCCCAGCTCCATCCCTTGACCCTGTTGCCACCAGGTGACTCTGAAATACATTCCCAGCCAGGAGTTCTGCTTGATATGGTTGCCTACCAAAATACAGAAGAGATCCCAGCAACCAGATAATACTGTCAACAAACTGAGAGAACTTCCAGTAAGTTGATAACACCCCATCAAAATGAAATTTCTAGCCCCTCGTCTTGTATTTCCTCCAATTTCCTATGCAGTGCAAAGAAAAAATGATAAAAACAGATCATGAAGAAAGTTTATTGTTGGTTATATTCATAGCCTGCCTTAGAGAGCAGGGCTCAAATCCCTGCTTGCCCGTGCAAAACCTATTGAGCCACCCTGGGCAAGTCACATGCTCTCAGCCCCAGGAAACTCTGTGATGGGGTTGTCTTAGGGTCACGTCCAGAAAGAACATGAAGACACACAACAACAGCTACATGGTCTTATAGAAAATTCAATACCTTTGGGGTATTGATTCATATGGTCAGTTAGCACAAGATTTGGGTTAAGTACAAAAATGTAGGATTCTTGTATTGTCGAAGGCTTTCATGGCTGGAATCACTCAGTTCTCGTGGGTTTTTTCAGGCTATATGGCCATGTTCTAGAGGCATTTCCCCTGACGTTTCGCCTGCATCTATGGCAAGCATCCTCATGTTCTAGAGGCATTTCTCCTGACGGATGCTTGCCATAGATGCAGGCGAAACGTCAGGAGAAATGCCTCTAGAACATGGCCATATAGCCCGAAAAAACCCACAAGAACTGAGTGATTCCAGCCATGAAAGCCTTCGACAATACAAGAATCCTACATTTTTGTACTTAACCCAAAGAACTGAGTGTAGGATTCTTGCTCACTAGGATATTCATCTATATCAGCAGAAGAGGCACATCAAATGATACACCAAGCTGTCCTCTGATCTGAATGGCCACAC